GTTAGTGCCACCTAGGAATCAGTAAGTATTTCCAAGCTGTATTAGAATGTACCACATGTTCTGTCTTGCTGTTTCTCTGTACAATGTTTGTGGAAAGGAATATAATCTAAACAAGCAAAACAAGGAGAACTGAAAAGGTGAACATGATGAAACCAAGTTAAACGAAAATACACCTTCGGAACATTGTTTGGATATGTTTGGATATAGTCGGGGAACCAAACCTCTCTCTGAAGGCCTACATCATGCCCTCCATGGGGCCGCTGCTGGCCTGGGGCAGAGCCCCACGCTGCCTCGYACCGCCAGGCCCAGGCCACCACGCACACCCTGACACAGTGAAGTCCTTGCAATGTCACATGCCGCGGGACACACAGCAGAAGATTCTGAGTTAAAATGAGACAACCAAAGTAAAAAACGATTAACGAATCAACAGCAAATTGCCAGTGGATCATTATGACCTAGGGCAGAGCACTCTGCACAGGCAGAGTGAAAAGTAGAAGTTTCCAGAGAAATATGTATGTTCTTACACAAGCATCTTGCATTCCTTCCTATCCCTTTACTTTTGGACTCTAATATTTTGACTCAATTTGGCTTATTGATTTAGCTGTGCTTCACCTGACCTTACAGAGCAATCTGTGCTCTTTCAAGTGCCACTTCGTATTGACTCCCGCATGAAACTATGACTCCTGTAATTGGCTTAGCAGTTCTTTGAGGCCACTTTGTTTCTGAGAAGATACCCACACATCCTCTGAGAATTTAAAATAGTTCTGTTGTCAAAAACAATTACAGCAGCAGAGCACAGGCAGCGTTTCATGCACAGAGCCCCTCTCCCAAGGTGCAGGTTCAGAGGCTGCGCAGCACCCAGCACGTTGCTGGCTGCAGGCGGGAGGCCGAGGCTGCCGGCTCCCAGCGCCCGGCACTGCCGCCCAGGGCACTCGCAGCGTTAATGCTCCTCTGTGTGACCTGCCATTCCCAGCAGGAACTTGCTGCCTMCCGGTTTAGTGGCTCTCTACCAAACATACCCTGAAGGAACAATCTTTCTGAGCAAAGACCTGCTATGATTCCAGTCCCTGCTACTGTGTTGTCGTTGCTGTGCATAAGGTACCACGGTGTTTTAGAATATGTTCTCAGTATTATGCAGAAATTCCGAAAAAACCCAACCCCTAGACAATGCCAAGTTTCACAGGTATGACAAAACAGATATGTGAATGCCACAGCAAAGCCAAAGAAATTCAATGAATGGTAAAATGTTAAAAAAAAACAGTTAAAAAGTCCAAGTACCCTCCCACGCACCAGACACGGCACAGGGCATTATCCAACAGCTCCCTGAACTGCAATCGACCAGGTGTTTTTTGAGCTTTTCACTAGCAGACAAAGAAATGGCCTGACTAAATGCAAGCTCTAGGGAGGACAGGAATTAACGCATATCACAGACCAGTCACATACAATCTGAACRTTTTTAGCTCTATCCTGTACAACAAGCTCCTTGGTATTAGGCCTTCCTCAAACCCACACCACCTCCCTGCAGGCTGTTGCAAGCCCTAATGCCCACATCATTTTCCTGTGATGAATTACTCGCAACATACTTTCATTCTGCTTTTTTCCCCCCCACAAAGTTGCTTTCCATGCTGAAAGAAGTATTCTTAATGTGCTTCCTACCAAATGACATTATGCTTGCATTTATTGCTAAGATAAAATAAGACCATGCGGTGAAAATCACAACATTTATATATTGCACCATTTCTCAGCTTAAAAGATTGTGTTGCATGGGATTTTCAGCAGATGCAATTTCCATTCTGGTTAAGACCTGTGTGGAAATATCTGTCAGGAAAATCACAAAAAAGTACAGTCAAAAAAAAAAAAAAAAAAAAAAAAAAAAAAAAAGAGAGAGAGAGAGAGAAAATAAAGAACAACTAAAAATGCTGCAAATTTATCTCTGTAAAAAAGAAGATTTTTCTGGTTTGTCATTCAAATTTGGTGCATTTCTGCTTATCTGTTATAGCTCCTATCAGGGAATGACTATCAGCTATAGGAGCTAGACAGGCCATCTCTTGGGGAGCATCCAGCTATATTCAGCTATTTTGCATATACCCACGTGGCACAAGTATGACCGTGCCGAGTTGTCTGTTAGACAGAAGATGGGGTCTAAGCAGAGGGRCCGCCAAGCAGCCCCAGCAGGACTTGCGCCCTTGCGCTGCCCTGCCTGCCCACACAGCCAAGGGTGCCCTCCCCTCGCCGGCCACGCGCACTCGCCTGAAACACTCAAACRCTACTTGCTTCTGCTAGTACATCTGTGCTCTGCCTGAGATTAAGGTAGAAACCATCTCTTTTGATGGAGTACATGGCTTTGTACAAGAATCRCAGGCTCTCAAAGAAGTACTAGTTAATTTAGCCCTACGACTACACAGAAATCTAAAACTCTTGACTACTAAATGATTTTCACCTGTGGCAGCAGCCTTGCAGATCACTGGATCTATTATCTGGTTAAATCTTTGCAGGCAACAATTTAAACCAATGCTTCTTTGTTGCTACCTGCAGACTCACAGCATTGCTGGGCAAACAGCACAAGTGCCACATTGTGCTCGCTGCATCGCAACAAAGCTGSAACCCGCCCATACTGTGCTCAAAGCTGCTTACTCTACTTCTTATCTCTCCCTCGACAGGGAGAGCTGAAGGATTCAAAATATTTGTGAGACTTCTCCAGTTGAAATTATTTCCCTTTAGGGATGTAGTGACTGCCTGAAAAGCATAGGTGAGACAATATTTGAGAAATCACATACACCTCCACAACTTCTCTCATGCATATCCTCTCATATACCTCTATTGGGGTATCACTTCTTGCMCCAGTAAACTCAGACTGAAATAAACTGTGAATCTCTGTATGACAAACCTCTTGAATTATAAAGAATGAAGTTCTTACAAAAAAGACATTGGAAGTGACATCCTTTCTACCGTAGTACAAAATGAAGTATGTTATCTAGAATCTGAGACTTCCTTCGTCTCCAAAAATGATATAATTCTACCCATACACATGAGATCACCCTAGTTGTATGCAAGAAAGGTGTTAAGCAAAGATACAGGGACAAAAGGAGCAAGAAGCCAAAGCTCTTCCCTACATAAGGAAGTTTGGGTACAGCAGGTGAGAATACATAACAGGACACTACTTAATCCATGCAAAATCTCTGTGAAAACACTTAAGTGAAGCAAATTACCTTGCTTTTCTGTCTAGATTGTGCACAAGTACACATTTGTGTCACTTCCTAAGGGCTGGCTGCACACCTTCAGAACTGCCTACGACAACACAAAAAAGCCAAGTACACAGATTTAGCTTGAGCTCTGATTAGCTAAGTCCAAGTCCTAGAGCACAGGAAACGTGTTCATTTAGAGATGTGGTAAAAGGCTTTTAGARTACTAAATCCGTATCTTACTTTGGATCATTATTATTTAGTGTAGACATGGCTGTTTCCATGCTCTTTTAAGAGGACAGGGTCATGGCTGGGGAGATCACAATGTTCCGAGAATAACTCAGTAGAGTCTAATATTTCCATTTCTCCAGGTATTTGTCAAATCACTTGGAAATCACAGCTATTACCAAAGATGATTCAGAGAAGAGTAAAATCAGATATGTATCACTAAGCATCACCTGGAGCTACTTTGGCAGTAACAGGAAAGTGCAGGAAGGGTCTAAGACACAGGAGGCAACCAAAGGTGTAAGGCTTAGTACTTGATTTAGCTCTACACATTGTAATAATTGATCGATTTTTCATCTCTTGGAAATTGTTTATTCAAAATGCACAGTGCAATCCCTTTTTAAGGGCAAATCTGAAAGATTCTCTCTTTCCAATAGAGTTTTGGACAATGTTTTGGAAAATGCATCATAATGCTCTTTGGTTGTTTTTTTTTGCCTTCCTTCTCCAGGGTCATCATCCCCGCCACTAAATATAATAGATATTATATATAAATATATAAATATATAAATATATAAATATATAAATATATAAATATATAAATATATAAATATATAAATATATAAATGTGTGTGTGTATGTGTAAATATATAAAATAGAACAGACATAAATATAATAATGTGCTACTAGGGGTATATTTTCCTAAGCTGCTCAGTGTGTCCATAGAAAAACTGGAACTGTAAGTGCATGTGAACTCCATAATAAAGAGATAGAAAGRCAGAGTGATGTTGAGCCATATTCAAAGACTCTGAAGGCCAATGGGAATCTTTTAATTGAATCTGCAATCACTTTGGAATGATTCATTTTTATCATAATCCATAAAATGGTTTACATTCCAATGTTTGGGGTTTTTTCCCTCCCCCTTTATCTTCAGYAATCTATTTATAACATTTTGGTCTGGCCATTGGCTTAAATGCGAGTGACTTGGGAAGACAATTTAGCATTTCACTCCAGGACTCTTGGCTACATCCAAGCCAGGGTAAGTCTACTCAAGCTAGTTTATCTAGCACAACTAGTGCAGATAAAAGTGTCAGCCCGGCCTCAGCATCTGGAGCTCATGACAAGCTATTTACCCTGCGGTGCAAATATGCCCTGAGGCTGCTATTTGTGAAGCAGAGCACTCATCAGACAACTACTCACTGCCCTCAGAGCTCAACTCCAGAAGCACAGACATCTACATGAGTACTTTTTGACAGATTGATAGCTTATATCTTATGATCAAAATGATTTAGTTAAGAGTTGTCTCTTTGGGTGATATGACAGCTAATTCCCATTTTGACTAATGAAAAGATACTATTGAAATGAACGCAACAATAAAACTAATGGCTCATCTGATTGCTATTGGTCATTTGCCAGTTTATCAAATGACTAGCCTACCAGCTAACTTGAAAAGAAAAATGGTTATATATATTGCACATCTCAGCAACGAGTTTAACTGGATAGCTCATTTTAAAATCTGCTTAAACTTTAGTGTATAATTTATAACTGCATATCAAAYCCGATATATCAGATGCATACTTACTCATTTTCACCCACCTTTTCAGCTGACTGGGCAGTGCCAAAAAATATTGGAATGAAGGCAAGCCATACTATACAGGTAGTGTACATAGTGAATCCAATGGGTTTAGCTTCATTAAAATTCTCTGGGACACCCCGAGTCTTGATGGCATACACAGTACATGTAACCATTAGAAGAATGCTATAACCCAAGGAACAAATGATTTGTAGATCCGTAATGTCACATTTGAGAACTCCTCTGGCTTGATCAGGGTTCATAGTTTTCTGCTCATCATAATCTATGATGATGTTGGGAGGGTCAACTGCAAACCAAATAAATACACCTAGGAGCTGAATAGATATTAAACTTGACGTGATTGCCAGTTGTGATGTTGGGCTTATAAGCCTAGGTGCTGTCACTGATTTTTTGCCCTGTTCAAATATGCGGTAGATGCGGTTTGTTTTAGTTAACAGGGCTGCATAGCTGATGCACATCCCCAAGCCCAAAAAGATACGTCGGAAAGAGCATACTGCAACATTTGGTTTGGCAATCATCAGGAAAGTAATTATGTAACAAAGAAATATCCCTGTTAACAGGACATAGCTGAGTTCCCTTCCAGAAGCCCGGACAATGGGAGTGTCATTATATCGAATGAACGTTGCCATTACAAAAATGGTGGCAATAATTCCAAGCATGGCCAAAAAGACGGGTATCACGGCCCACGGAGAATGCCATTCCAGCTTGACAATGGGTATTGAGCGGCAGCCAGTCCGGTTCTCATTGGGTCTCTCGTTGTATGAGCAGAGTAAACAAGTCACCTCATCAGCCTGGTACTGGTACCCATCACAGAGCTCACAGTGCCAACAGCAAGGCATCCCTTTGACCATCTTCTTCCTCTCTCCTGGTTTGCATGGCAGACTGCAGACCGAGGACGGGATTTCACGTACTCCTTTACCCCACTGCATTTCCTCAATCTACGAGAAATTTGAAAGAGAAAGAGGCTGGTTATTTACACATCAGCATCTGTAACTGGGAAATGAGTGACCTACAACAGAAATAAAGAGAATAGAAAGCTTTACACAAGGTATGCTGTGCATCTCCAAGAACTGCATATGCCAGTTTCTGCCTTAAGAATTATAAAAGCATAATGATATCTACCACTGTAATTTTCATTTTTATTAGTTGCAAATTCKGGTAATTCACAAGATCATAACGTTAGAGCAAACACCTATAAAACCACCTTCTAGCTTCATGAAAATTAGCAAGAACACTGTAATGCCTCAAGGGAAAGCAGGAGTTACATTCACAGTGCTACTCTTCACGCATCCAGAGGTTGGAGCTTTAAACTGCAACCAGAGTTCTCACTTCTTGGAAATGCTACAGATCAAATTAGTATTTTAAGAGGTGAAATGTGGCATATATGGGGATCAGAATCAATGAGAAAACAGTAAGATCTCCAATATTATGAACCATGTAAGTGTAAACTAGAACTACTCAAAAGGCTCTAACATTCCCAGACAATTTGCTGCACCAAATTCCAACTCAGGGGCACAGTAGAACTTCAGAGTGCTTGCAGTACTCTGTGCAAACGTGCACCGGTGCATGTCTTTCCCAAACATAAGACAAGTTCTACTGTTTTCCTCACACAACCAAGAAATTCTAAGAAGAGTTTCTTAAATCAGCTGTGATTATTAATGCATATAGGAAGAYTGGGATTTGCAGGTTTTAAACTGAAGGATTAAGTTACACTTTCCTAAATTAATTCAAAATAGGTCCTGTATCAACTTCATTTCATATACTGGAAAAGAAACGCAAAGCCACACACTGTTTCAAACACTGTACTATCAAGAGACTCTACTGCTTRTTACAAAAGTAACCCCCCAATAGCAGATAATCTGAAGGTCTGCCACTGCACGAGAAAYTTCATTAACCTTTAATACTCACAACTCATACAGAAAGAAAAAATGGCCCATAAACTCTTCTTTCATACTCCGCTGAGCTGGAATGTAACRTGTAGAAGGAATACTGATGATAAATGAGAATACAAATACTTATTTAATTGTAATAATAAATAGTAATAATAAAACTGAGTGAGCATGCACAAGGGGCCAGGAAATCCATTTCTAAGCTTGTCACTGCTCCAACTGATAAACAGTGACAAGTCCTTTATAAAGGTTGAGCTGAATTCCTATACTGCACGTATTATTTGCAAGAAAGCTTGAGTAAACTGACATGTGCACATGTAACTTACTCACTAAAGAGGCAAGACAAGCTAGCTGAGCAAGAAACAGAACCAGAAAGATGATGAGCAAACTGGAACAGGGCTGAGACAAGCACTGATTCCATTTTCCATTAATAAAGGATGTGAAAGTTTCATGAAAATTCCTTAAGAAACCAGCTGAGTGTCAGTTTACCTCTTCTTTCAGCCTTCTTTTTCACTGATTTGTATTATGTCTTTTTAAAAAGAAGTAGACGGAGACATAATAACTAACTCACACTTTCTTGTTGTACCAACCCAGATGAGTTAAAGTTATTATGTCTCCGTCTACTTCAAAAGAAGAGGTTTTCTTTTCAAAGAATCATTAATGTGCTATCGTATTTCCCCTCCACCACCATTTTAACTATAAAAGGGTGAGGTTTACATATTCTCAAAAGTATTCCATACCTAATAGTTGGGACAGCCTAAAGACCTTATTCTGTACAGATACTGTGTGTAAAGAGATAAATAGAAGACCAGGCAAGAAAGTCCTTTTTCTGCTCTCCTGGGAATACATCATGATAACTCTGCATCATTTGCCTCAGAAAGATTTGCTACTGCTTTGTTGCTTCTGGCTGGAAAATTAATAATGAAAAACCGCCTGTCAGATAAGGGACCTGGCACAGAAAYCTGATGCAGTGAGATTGGAATCAGATTCAAACAGAGACACTTTGCTCACAAAGAAAACTTTCCACTTATTTATGAGACTTTGTCTTTAAATAAATTACTGTTTCTTAACTCCTTTAAGAAATGCAAATAAAAGCAATAAAATCTTTGTCTGTGGTTTTGACTGCCTTAGGATCTAATAATTGTGCCTAAAGTGCTTTTTATTCCCCTTTTTCCTTGCCTTCTCCTCCTGTGTTTTGCTGCAGTTTTCTTGAAATAACTTTTGCAAATTTGAATCTGAGAAAGATTTCACTTTTGAAAAAGAATTGTTAAATTCAGCCACTTCTTGCATTTATTTAAACCTATATCTGCTTGTATTTAATGACTTTTTCCAGTAGTTTTAGTCATCACAGATTGGAAACTGCTTACTTAAAGCTTTTGCTGAATTCAGACTTTCAGAATCAGGATGACAAAATACTGATAAAATAGCAAGAAATTACTTTTTCCCACAATTTCTGTAAGAGGATCTTAAAAAAAAATAGCGCAGCATTTAATTTAACAAAATCTCATTTTAGCAAGCAAAGAGATTGTTAAGGCTCAGGTAAAGGCAATAGTTTTTAAACAGTTCATTTGAAAACAAATACTTTTGGAATTTGCTTCTTCTGTTACTATAAAGAAGAAGAGGTGAGATTAATCCTAACTTAGTAATGATTTAATACAATTGGTTAAAACTCAATCTGTCACATTGAAGAGACTTATGATTGCAAAATAAGTGTCTTGAAAAATTCTTCTTGCCCTACATCCGTTTCTCCTGTGTTTACATGTCCGAGCAAGAGCTTATGGGTCTTCTGCCGTGTTTCAGCTAACGGCACTACAGTTCCCTAAGGAAATGAAAGAACAGGGTTTTTATGTGTACTGAGATCCAAAGATCCAAAGATCTCAGTACTGGAAAGCACCGGACCATGGTTTATGCAGATGCAGGGCCTGTGGGTGCCAGGGAGCCCTCCGGGCCGGGTGCCGCTTGCCTTTCGCCTGCAAGGTCAGCTCCCGCCTCTTGCTCTCTGTGCGCTGGGTGGCAGCGCCGCCGCCTGCGCTGGCTCCGCTCCCTGCCCACACTGTCGCTGATGGCAAACTAATGACACGGAGGCTGAGCAACATTCGGAGACAGAAAATGCAGAGTAACAGGCTGCCATGACAAGTAAGCTTGCTGCACATTATCCATCCTGTTTCTAAAAGAGGTAACTGGCACAAGTAAAACCACTCTTGTGRATGACTATTTCCAATGCAGTTGTTTGAACATGCCCACCAGGATTTAGTGACAAATCCACATTTACTAAAAATACAGACGGATGACATGATTAGCCGGAGAAAAAACAGATCCAGTATCTGGTAGATTTAGGTTCTCCTGTTGGCTCTGCCTTGTTTCATCAACTTGGGCAAGGCATTCCATGTCTTTTTCTCCCCTCAGTTTTCTCATATATAAAATGAAGATCATTTTAATATTTGTAACTACAGCCTYTGTAAAATTCTCTGAGGTTGAGACTATAGAAAAATAATATACATATAGGTATATATTATAAACAGGGCCTGCACCGGTGACCAGCACGATGTCCAGCTCCAGCAGCGAAGCAGTGCAGAGACTCTGCTCCCTCAGCACACACCTCATGTCTGTGTAATTCATTATTTTGTTCTCTGGGTTGATTTCAAGATGCTAATTTCAATAAATAAAGCTGCAAATTGGTTTGGGCCCTTGTTACTTGAAAGCCTGCCACTCTGCCCATGTGGGACCACAGCAGTTATTTGAGGTGATCAAGCCAGCGCTCATGTAGCTTTTGGTGAGGGGCCAAAACCAAAGCAGGAGAGACCGAGAGGCTGGTGCAGGGTCACACAGGAGATCTGCGGGCYGGGACTGAATTCCGCACACCAGAATTCTTGTTCAGTGTTTTCTGAAGTACATGCCTGTACTTCTCAAGACTTATCTTCTCCCCAAGGCAAAAAACCCTTTTTGGTTACAGGTTGACTCTAACTCTTTTTTTGCACAAGCTCCATTCGTTTCTATATATTGCCCAGTCCGTAAGTGCTTCAGGCTAGAACTATGGGAGCTTCAAATTTTAATTTTGTTCACTACAGAACAACAGGCTAAGCATTAAGAAATGCTGAGTCTCTCAAATAGCCAACCATAATTGTTCATTTTAATGAGTAAAGTAACTCAGGATATGTGTAGAATTTAAATATCATTGCTTTTTTGCTGTCCATCACAAATGTTCCTATAATAAGCTATTTGTTCTGAACTAAATAGTTTCGTGCAATGTTTGACTAAAATAGAAATCAGTACAATAACAACAACATTAACCTACTGATAATTTACCTASTCAGGAAAACAAAACAAAAACAAAAACCCAGGCACTATCCTAATATGACTTTCATAAACATCATGCCATTAATTTCATGGATATATTAGAAAGCAATTGCTGAGGATTGTTCTCAGATTTATTGATACCTTAGAGATTGCTTTTAGACTCTACTTACTAAGTCAGCAATACAAACAATTTTAGTATTTTGAACTTCACAGATAGCAATATTTGCATGACTTCGCTATCTCTTATGGCTTAGCTATTAATGTCCGGTAATTAGTTTCTAAATCCAGGGCTTTAAAATGATAATAGTTTTAAGCTAAGAATATGTCAATAACACACAGTCAATAAAGTCTTCCGCAAAATATCAACTAAAATCCCTTAAACAGATAACAGAGATAAGCCAATCTACCAGATAAAGATGCAAATCTATTCCAATAAATTGCCCATGTATTGCAACTACAATTCTTTTTATCTCATACCATAACTTTAACTTCACTGTCTTGTCAGAAGTGATGGAAAGGCCTTAATAAGATCCTGAAGACATGAAAAAAATGATGGAGTCAAGAAATCTGAATGATTTTGGATGGTGCCTAACAAATACTTAATTACAAACAGCTCAGACTTATATCACTGTCAGGACAGCACATGCAACAGAGACAGGATACATGATCTRCAGAGTTGATCTGATCCTCGGTTGCTGTAAGACCATTTATTGCTACAAGAAGGTTCCAGAGGGCACTGGTAARGCCCTAGG